CACAAATGCCTCAGTCGTCACTAAATGTTTCTCACATTCAACTGACAGGGTCTCACAAAACAGTGAACTTGAGAAAACACCTTTTCGTGATGAGTTATTCTGCTTTTGGTCGCAACACTGCGTTGTTTTTACTGTCTATGTCAATGCTTTGTTTTGGTTGTTGATTTTGATAGCGTTCTCATGTTTGCCACACTTCTCCGTTCAGACTTTTCTTCTGTTCTTTGCACTCGAGACCTTTGTTGAATGAACACTTTGATCAGGCAGAACTGAGAGTGTAGACAGATGTGTGTGCATGCACGTGAGTGTGCGTGTGTGTGTGTATGTGTTGACATAATTGGAGGGTCGAGCACATTTAGTCAGGTGTAAATGAAACTGTGACAAAATTAACACTAGTCTCGTTGACAGGCAGCTGCTAGGTGTGTGTGCGTGTGTGTGTGTGCGTCTTGTCTATTCCTGCCAAATGTTTTGCTTTAACATGTTCTCACAGCGTTTTGACAAATGGAGTGCACAGTAACGATGTGCACAGGTCCTGTCGCTGCCTTTATCACTTTAATCACACATCCACAGCATCACGTTCATGTTAAGGTGCTCTTTAGAAATACAACATTTTGCGCACATAAAACTGTGTCAGTCTTTTGCTTTTTCTTTTATTTCCAATTCAGATGTTTTTGCATAGTTTATGGCAAGTTTCTCCCTCTGAATCTTTTATATCAACTGTAGATGGGTGGTCTGTTTTGGTAAATGTATTAGTTTGATCTTTTTTCTTACATTATACACTGACATTATACACACATATATATATATATAGTCTGATGCTTTAAACAAGAATAAAATAACATTACTAAAAACGTAAAGGTGAGATTGAAAAACGCTTGTATGCGCTAACAAACTTAAGCCCAATCCAGTGATTTTTATCCAGCTCTGTCTCACTCTGACCCCTGTGCCAAAGACACCTCTGTCTTATGCTGACAGACTGTGATTCCAGATTTCAACGATCATTTACACTTTCCTCATAACATTTTATAAAAACATCAGAAAGGTTCTTGGGGATTTTGGTCTATTTTGAGCATTGAGTAATAACTTCAAATAATTCAAATGACTGCAAAAAGCAATGATTGTCCTTCTCAAAAATAGATTGTGGTCCTACATACGTTTACATAAGTAAATGGGAGGATGTGCACACAGTAATGTGAACAAAGGCTGTAGAGGAATAAGAATGAGAAAAGGTTTTTTGGGACTTTGAGACAGTGGTAGGATCAGTTTCAGAGCATGTTTCAGAACAGAACAGCTGACACTTGAAAAAAAAAAAAAACATCCTTCTGTAAGGAGCATTACACTAGAAAGTAGCCTTGGGACATATATAGATGTTCTTTGGCACACAACACTTGTACAAGAAAATTCTTAAACCGATTACTGACATGCAACAACTGTCATTTTTCCACATTCTTTCTTAGACTAACTACTTGGAGCCAAAAGTTATATCAATCAATCAATCACTTTATTTTGGTAAATTGTCCACATTAAACACAAGAAACAACAAAAGGAAAAAAGAAAAAAAACAATAGACAAAACCCACAGTTTACCAAAAAAGGAATAGGCCGAAGCAAAGCTTATTCTTGCCTACCCTATTTTTTAACCTCACAACCCAGGATTTCTTCAAATTCAGATTCAAGTACATAGTACATATATAGATCTACATAAGAACGTAAGATTTTATCATTTTACATTTTAAAGCTGTCATAATTTAATTTAAACCAGTGGTATAATTGAATTTCAGGTTTTATAAAATGCCCGTGTTTGTTACTTACTACTTGTAGGTCTCTGAGCGAACATATTCAAAAACATGGGAGATGCCAAGCTGGAACTGGTCTGCAATGGGAGTCACCCATGGATTATTCTCTGCTTTGAACACCTGTTTAGGACCAGTCAGATCCAGATTACCTGCAGATAAGGAGACAAGGAAACATAGCAGTGAGCAAACCTTTATTTTTAACGATAGTTTAAATTATTTTCTGAGTGTTCAAGTGACACTTTTTTCTCATTTGCCTCAATATAAAAATGTTATGACTTTGAATATATGGTTTAAATTAAGTTTTAGCTTTACAGTGAGGGTATTTATCTAAAATCATATGTCCAAAAATTCAGTAATTGGTTCTTTCTTTTCTTTTTTTAAACTTTTTCCTGAGATTTTTATCATAACCTGAAAGACTGGATGATGCAATGGATTTTAGGCGGTATTAATAGCAACAACATGGCAGAAGCTTACATAAAGCTGTGGGGATACTTCATAAGAGCTTTGAAAAGAGAGGAAAAGTGTGAGGCTTTCCAGTTGAGTCTGAAGGATGTAGCGGATGAGTTTATACAAAAAAAAAAGTTAGAAGAAAGCATTTGTTAAGTGAGGGAACAGTCACAGACAGATGTAGCCTACAGCACACTGACTCCGTCTTCAACTAAATTCTTCAATGTCATAAAGTCTGATTTCCTCTGAGAAGGTGCTCACACAACCGAAAGTCACATAACGGCTACTTATCACTTTATTAGATGGATGATTTTAAGTTACCTTAAAGTAATTTGATATGTAGGAGGCACTCACTTAGCTTTGTTGGCTTATATGCTTTCATCATTGTACAAAATTGGTAAAACTAAGTATGATAATAAAGAAAACACAACAATTGTCTTAAACTAATGTTAATAGTTTGGGGTGTTTTGGTTTGTTTGATGTCTGTAACAATAGAAAACTATGACTGTGGTAGTTTTGGCGAGTATGTCGCATCTCATTTGAAGGCTGAAATTCAAATGTCGAGGGAACTAACATGAAATTGTTTAGTTTTCTTCAATGTCACCAGAACATTACAAAAGTTCTTGTGAGCTGCAACCTCATAAAACAGTTTTTCACACAAATTTACAAATGGTGACAGTTCTTATCTTTCAAATCTTTTTTTTTTGTTTTCAAAAGAGGCTAATTGTTACTGTAGGGTTATACTGCACTTGTGGGGTTGTTTTAACTCTTTCAACACTCTTTCAGTGGCAAAGTGTTCCCTTTGTTTAATAGATTTCTTATGGGTTAGATTACATCCACACAATCTAACTTCACTGTTAAGAGGTCTTGGCACAAGAGATAAGCACAGACAGCTGCAGCAGAGTGGCAGGTTGGCAGAAAAGAGGAAAGAAATAAAGTCATGCTGTGAAAGAACATATCTGACGGTCTTCAGCTGCATTTAGAAACAAAGTTGAATGCATATCTAATGTACCTTTCAATCAATCTTCTTCTATCAATCGTTAAAATACTACTACACATTAAAAGAAAAATGAGAGGATTACCAATCTTGACAGATTTTCAATCAACTGTTTCATTTAGCAGCTACGTAAACAAATAAGAGATATTTGGTTGAGCATTTTTTAATTTTGAAATTCTGCCCAAATATTTGAGCCATTCTTTTTGCTGCCTCATCAAGTTGGGTTTGTATGGCAATTGTAAAAAGTATAGCTTTGAGTAAGATTTTCAAGATTGTGAGAAAAGTGAGATGAAGATTTTATGGGATTTGTATGGGAATTTATGGGTTTCATGGTGGTGAGTAGGTGGTGCCCCCTAAAAACAGGGGGAGTTTGCTTCCTAACTGCTTGGATTTGAATGTTCTCCTCATGTGAAAGTGTGTATGGTTGTCTGTCTTGTGTGTCTGTGTGTGGCCTTGTAATGGACCCTGTGAGCCACCTCACCCTAAATGACAGCCGGGACAGGCTCCTGCCCCGTGCGACCAAGAGTAATTGTTCCTGGGAAATAGATGCGTGGTTGAAATGGGATGTAATTAATTAATCCCAAAATTGGCAAATTATAAGTGTAGGGCAATTATTCATTTTTAATTGCGATTACTCTCTTGAACTTTTTCTATTAATCCAGATTAACCGCATTATCATGCACATGAATTAATAAATGGTATAGCAGTGTATATCTCATTTTAAGGTACTGTTTTATGAAAAAAGTAACAAATTATGCAAATATTTTTGAGCGAAGAAGATACTTTTTACTGCAGTATTCTCTTTGCATTTTTTAAATTGTGGACACAAACATGATTAAATCACATAATTTCAAATCAACTACGCTGTTGCAAAGAGTTTTGAAATCAAATCAAATGTACCTGTAACAGTCCAGTACTTTTCTGTTTGTAAAAGTGTGTAGGTGCCATCAAACAACACACAAAATTGTTTCACATGAGTTACTGTAAATGCACCCGGCTCCACAAATAAAATATCATGTTTAACATATTTTTCCTTTTTTTGCTGTTTTTGTTGCATCATCAGGGGCTGAATTCTAGTCCAGTTGTCACTAAGCCAGGGGCAGAGTGCATCCTGGATGGTCCATCACAGGGCTACACAGTCCATCATGCACATGCACAGAAGAAACAAGTAATCAAACATGCATGTTTTTGCATAGCAGGAGGAAGCCAGAGCACCCAGAGAGAAGAGCATCCGAAAAATATGGTGGAAAACATGCAAACACCACACTGAATGGCCCCCCCAGCTGGGTTTCCAACCCAGAGTCCCTTTGCTGTAAAGTAAAAGGTGCTGAAATCTAAATGATCTTGTTAAATTCGATATTTCCATTTAATGGTTCTTATTTGTACTACGCATTTTCTTAATTCCTTCCTTAGCTAAAATAGAAATCAAGAGCATACCTCAAATATCACAGCATTTTTAAGATAAATGGATGGGGAGATGGACTAACAAAACAATGTAAATGGTTATCCTAACAGATTTTAGATATCTTATTGTAATATAAGCCTATATAAGGCACAAATCCTACAGTTATCAGAAAGTTAAACACAATTTAATGAAAAATGCCAATAAACAATCTGGGTAAGTACAGTCAATTTCAAAGACATTTTCACTAAAATTAGGAGAACTTTGGAACTTAGCAAAAATTGTGGGCTACGAATGAAAGTGATCAGACCAAGTGTGTTTTGTGTGTTTCTGTGTGTGTGTGAGTGCTTGTGAGAGAGACGAGTACCAAGTTCAGGTGGCAAAACGGTCAGTCTGTTGCCCTGGATGTGAAGCTCTTTTAGTTGAGCCAAATCCCCAATTTCCTTTGGCAACAAGGTCAAATCATTATCTCTGAGACTCAGCTGAATGCCAAAAAAGAAACAGAGAGAGGAAAAATTCATTTATGCGACAAGATTTGTCATATAATGTTCACACTGAATATTAGCTCTGTTTCATTTGAACTGGAGTTTCCAGTACTTCAAACACTCCACCTCAGTCAAGTCAAGTTTCATATCCCAAAAAAATCTTAGAACTGGTAACTCAAATATTTGTATATCTTAACAGGCAACAAATAACAGGTTTACAAATGCAAACAGTTTATAAAACAGTTTATATATATTTCAACAAAGTATTCATCATTGTCCACTGTCCCAATGTCCATGTGGATACAAAAGTGGGACCGGTGTACAAATAACCAAATCTTGAAAATACTAGCAGATGCTACCCCTGGTTACACTCGAGTTCTTCTAACACAAAATACGACCCTTACAGTTTAAGTAACCTAGTATCAGCCTTTGACTAATGCTGCACTGTAGAAGTTACAGTTATGAAGGATGAAGAAAAAATTGAGTTCTCAGTGAGATACTGTTTTATAAAACGTGAAACTTGTTTTGCTCTGGACTAATTTGTGTTCACACTGACTTACGATTTGTAGCTTCGTCAACTTTCCGATGTCAGTGGGAAGGACTTCGAAATCATTGTCACTCAAGTAAAGAGCACGAAGAGTGGCTGGAAAACAAACATCACAGTTAGCTCTTCACTAAGGTAGCAATTGACAACCTTGACAATGGCAGAATGGAGATACTTATGAGGATTTTGTTTTATCTATGTAGAACCGAATCCCAACAAATGTAACACCATAGCTAGTCTAATTCTTAGATAGTCCAATTCAAGAATGAAACACAGTAATCCAATCAAACCAGACCAATTAAAACAAACAAACAAAGAAAAGACGATGCCGATTTGGAAAAACAAATCTTCTCCTCCATTCAATCTTCTATCCCAAGCATGTGATTAAATGTTATTCGTCTCTCATGTGTGGTACTGTACTCACTCAGGTAGAAGAAGTTTCCCGGCAGAGAGCTGTGGCTCAGGTTGTTGTAGGTCAGGTCCAGCACTTCCAAAGCCGGGAAAGAGCCAAACCCTCTGGGCAAGCTGTTCAGACGGTTCATCCTGGAATCACAAATTACAATGAAGCTTTTACCTCAACTTCAAACGTTTGATTCTCAATCAAATAGAATATCTGTATCAAAACTAAAACAGAAAGTAAACATTTAACCAGGATCCTATAAAAAAAAGCTGCTCGTTCATCTGTAACTTTTTATAAGAATGTGATACCATGCAAAGTGTCTTTATCTCTGATTTGGATTCGTGAAGCCCTTTAGCAGTGCTTCTTTGGGAATGTTATTCATTTCCATCATACAAATTTGTCCTGAAGAGAAACAGGTGGGACGCTTGGTTCAGGTTCAGATCTCTACCTCCATTACACAGACTGGGCCCCGTTTAAGGAGCTTGGTTTGGGTCTTGATGAACCAATTGAAGTTGTCTCTTTGGATGTGTCTTTTAGCAAGTCTTCTATCATTCCACGGAAGGACTTTTACACAAAAAGTGTCGAAAATATAATTAGTCAAAGAAACATTTGCTTCCGAGGGGGGGACATTGAAAAACAGAGGAAGAGGGAATCCCTATAGCTCTGACCCGGTGCTGTCCAACAAATTAAACTTTTTTTAACTACTTTCAATAATACTTCCCTTTAAATATCGCTAAAAATATTTAACAAATTAAAGCATACCTGGCTTAAAACAAAAGGTAAGAGATCAGAGTAAACAAATCATGCCATAACCAACTAAAATGTGAGGTTTTCTTTAGCTTCACAATAGAGAGAAACCACAAAAGTGGAACACTTTGGCATTTAAGAAGAACAACTAAATGCCTGCGCTTTAGCGTTTGAAGAAAAATCACAGACAGATTATTTCATCAATCTATTGTTTTATTTAACATCTACAAGGAATGGAAAAAGGGAATGTGTTGTCTGTGTGTGCATGTGTGGAATGAGTTTTTTTTTTTTTAAAAGGCACATACCCGAGGTTAAGGTGTTTCAGCTTCTGAAGACTGCTGATTTGAGTGGGCAGCTCTTCAATCTGATTGTTGAACATATTCAGAACTTCCAGATTTTTTAGCTCCGAAATGTTAGCGGGCACAACTGAAGAAAACACACACACAAACAAACACAATAAATGCTTAATTATTTTATATATTTGTGTATAGTTTACACTGAAGAGCTGCAGAGCTTGCTTAGGATGTAAAATTACTCGACTCTGCCTATTTAAAAAAAGACGCCAACAACAAATTTCCAATTTCATTCGTCAACATTGTAAATGTCAAATACATGGACCATCACCGTCTTTCTGTTAAGACCTCAGAGGACAGAAAACCACCTCAACGTTGGTTCTCAACTGGTGAGAAAAGGTTTAAAGGGCTAAATTTGCTTTTCAGCTTAGCTCCCCTGGCAGCATCCCTCTCAGTCTGAATGCTGGCAGCTCATAGGTTCATATAACTCCACCTAAACATTAAATAGCCCTCTAAGTCCCTTTAAAAAATGCCTAATTTGAGCAGTACTGTTTCATAATAGCTGTGTGAACATTATTAGTCTACACGACAATTTCCTTTCACCTCTTCAATCACTATATGGAGCTCAGTTCATTCCCAAATGTGAAAGCTGTGCCACGGAATCACAACACTCCTAAAGTACAGGTACAAGATAAGCTAAGAACTTCATTGATCCTGGAGGAAATTCATGTGTCAGAGTTTCAAAACAAAAGAGCCTATAGAGTAATTACACAAACTACGACATAACATAACAATAAAAACATTTGAGTACAAAATTGGAAGCATAATGGAGGTAACGGCTTACCTGTGATCTTGTTGTGACTGAGGACCAACTGAGTGATGTTAGAAAGAGTAACTGGAAAGAAAGAAATGTTTAAGAAAGTAAAAAACAACATGAACACTCAAAGAGAAAGAAATTCTGTTCTGTTTTGGAGAACAATAAACATCCCCTCTCATATCAGAATCAGAATCAGAATCAGAAATACTTTAATAATCCCAGAGGGAAATTATTTTACAATGTTAGATTACAATTTAAATTTCCACGTAGGTAAAGTGTTGGGGGGTTATCAGTTGTCTCATCAAGCTTATTTTCATGCACCGCATTAATTAACTAAATTCACATAGAAGTGTACAACAGTGGATGAAGGCCTTTAAACCTATTTTACAAGAGTCTGATCTGTCCGACAATGTATAAAAACTCACTGCTGTCACAATGCCACTTAGGTTTTTTTTTTTTTTACATGATTATTTGATAATACTGAATTTTGTAGTGACAAAGCTGTAACTGTAAAGACTCAGAATCAGAATCAGAAATACTTTAATAAATTATCTGTGAAACTTAAGAGTTAAGTACGACAAGCCTTCTGTGTTGAATATAACATTAACTGCTGTTTGACACGTCCCCGCCCACCCATCTCAAAGTAGTCTAAATTTGTATTTACTTTGACCTTTTTTAAATGATTTCACCATAGTTCTTGGTCCTCTTGATGAATGTATAAATACACATCACACTCTGACCGAATGCCATGTTTACTACAAAGCGAGATTGAAGAGCATATGATTCCTTACACAATCCCGGGATGTCCGACATATTCGAAATGCCTCGATCGCACATCTCCACCTCAGGAAGGTTCTTGTCCCGACTCTCCTCCACAATCTTCTTCAAAGACTTGGACATTTTTTTTTCTTCTGAAAATGACAGAATTACGTCGAATACCACGTTACGAGACAACAACTAGCCAAAGTCAAGGCGTTTCTGTCGTCTAGCACCAGGGAAAAGCATACAGTTGTGATTAGAGTGTGAAAATCGCAGAAATGTTTACCGTTTAGATGGAATAAGCAATATAACAGAACTAGTTAGATTCTTCCTCCCTGATGGAAACTTCCTGTTGAACGCACAGGATACCGGAAGTGTTACTGAGAAACCCCTTTCCATAAAAGGAAATCCCCTTTTCGTGGATTCTCCAAGAGAGTAAACTATGGATGGTTCTCTGCTGAGAATGGCTGCCCCCACATCACATAATATCTGAACTAAATTATATTTAGTTTTTCTGCTTTTAACTTCCACGACATACTAAAGGGAGATAAACGCAGGGAATGAACCAAAATGATGATAATAGAGGAAAGAAAAAGGAGGAAACATTGTTGTTAACAAGGCGTTAAATTGGGAGCACAAATAAAGAATTTAACTTTTTCATTTTTGTGAATAATGTCTCAGTTTGATTTTTCATATCTTTTTAGAGCACAATTTTTGTAATTTCATGGTTTCCGTACTTTCTTGATTTTTTAAAATATAATATATACAACACATTATCAACATTTCAAATAATTGTACAACAACGTATGGAAAATTATAGAAAATGTATTGAAATAAAAGTGCCGCTGTGCTTAACATTTAAAACGCTTTGTCGCCCAGCAGATGTCGCCATTATTTCGTTTCTTCTTCTTCTTCTTCTTCTTCTTCTTCTTCTTCTTCTTCTTCTT